TGCCATTGTAACTGCGGTTAGCTGAAAATGCGTGTTGTGGAGTGATTAGCACGCCTAGACTCACTGTAGAGTGACCTGCATGCCTAGACTTACAGTAGAGTGACCGGCACGCCTAGACTCGCTGTAGAGTGACCCACACGCCTAGACTCGCTGTAGAGAGACTGGCACACCTAGACTCGCTGTAGAGAGACCGGCACGCCTAGACTTGCTGTAGAGTGACCCGCACGCCTAGACTCGCTGTAGAGTGACCCGCACGCCTAGACTTGCTGTAGAGTGACCCGCACGCCTAGACTCGCTGTAGAGTGACCCGCACGCCTAGACTCGCTGTAGAGTGACCCGCACGCCTAGACTCGCTGTAGAGTGACCCGCATGCCTAGACATACAGTAGAGTGACCCACACGCCTAGACTCGCTGTAGAGTGACCCGCACGCCTAGACTCGCTGTAGAGAGACTGGCACACCTAGACTCGCTGTAGAGAGACCGGCACGCCTAGACTTGCTGTAGAGTGACCCGCACGCCTAGACTCGCTGTAGAGTGACCCGCACGCCTAGACTCGCTGTAGAGTGACCCGCACGCCTAGACTCGCTGTAGAGTGACCCGCATGCCTAGACATACAGTAGAGTGACCCACACGCCTAGACTCGCTGTAGAGTGACCCGCACGCCTAGACTCGCTGTAGAGTGACCCGCACGCCTAGACTCACTGTAGAGTGACTGGCACGCCTAGACTCACAGTAGAGTGACCCACGCACCCAGACTCACTGTAAAGTGACCGGCACGCCTAGACTCGCTGTAGAGTGACCCGCACGCCTAGACTCACAGTATAGTGACCCGTAAGCCTAGACATATAGTAGAGTGACCCACACGCCTAGACTCACTGTAGAGTGACCTTCACGCCTAGACTCACTGTAGAGTGACCCTCACGCCCAGCCTTAAAGCCTGTGCAGGCAGTGTCAGTGATGCTCTCTCCTTCCAGGAGGGGTGTTTGACTACATGGTGCTCCAGGTGATGAAAACAAGGGAGTTGATTTTATCAGCAGCTTGTTCTTCACCCAATTCCACTTGTTTTCCTCTGTGTGAAGAAGCTGCTGGCGATGATTTGGCAGAAACCTCCAGTCTGATTCAGGTGCTGGTCAGAGGGGCCAGGTGCTCATGTTGCATCTGAGACGGTGTCCCTCTCATTCATTCTCTGGGCTGGAAGAGGGTCCATGTTTGGAAAGAGAGGAGAAATGGCCCCTCCTCTCTGTGGGAAGGTGGGTGTCCAGGTACATCATGTGTGGTCGTGGGTGGGCATGAGAGTTGTCAGGGCTATTTCAGCCTGCCCTGGACATCGGGAGAATGGGGAACCTTCCTCCACGTCCTTCAGCTTTTCATAGATGTGAAATTTTAGATAATTTTTATTCTACAATTAAGATATGATTCAGTTAATTTCTAGAGTTGTTGTGAATTTTATGGGTTTATATCTGGAACATTCCACCGAGGTGAAGGACAGAGCTACTCAGGGACACAGGTGCAGCCCCAGGCACCGAAATCGGCCTGTTTTGGATTCTAGACTGTGGCTCTGCCCCCTGGGCTTTACAGCCCAGAACGAACATCCACCACCAACCCAAGTCCACCTCCAAACAGCACTGTGGCACTTCCCCAGAGGTGCTGGTGCCCACGTGAGGCCCTGCGTCCTACCCAGTCCTCCAAGCTCCAGGTTGTCCCGAAGTTATGGGACCTCGTTTGGGTCACTTGGTTAAAACAAGAAGCACCATTTAATCCATAAGGTGCCCTGTCATGACGGCAAAGCAACAAAAGCAATTTGATTTACCAATGAATCTGTTTTGGAGTTCTTATTACTGTGTTGGGTTTTGGCATGGGCTGGTGGGTCCCGGGGGTGGAGCATGTTTTCTGGGTGACAGTGGTGGGAGCCCCGGGCTGCCTCCCCTCTCACGGTGGGGACCAGGTGGACAGCTGACCTCCACCTGCCTCTGTAGCTCATGGGCCGAGTGGCTGCTTGCCCTCCAGGGGTGTTCCTGCAAGAATAAAACAGAAAATACTTCTGTGTTTTGAAAATGTCAAAGCCACAGTGCTTACTTCAAACTGTACAGCCTTTAATATGTAACGGAGCTTCTTTTAATAGCTGTGTGCAAAGTCAGATGGAAAGAGTCACAGTTGGAGTGTCAGCTCTCCAGTGAAAACGTCTCTGTGGTGGGGACACGTTTCCTGAGCCCGGCTAGAACCCGCCCCCGAGTCAGTGTGCTCGTGGTGAGTGAGCGGCGCAACCCGCCCCTGAGTCAGTGTGCTCGTGGTGAGCAGCGCAACCCGCCCCCGAGCCAGTGTGCTCGTGGTGAGTGAGCGGCGCTTGGTCCCTTAGCCCTGGCGTTCACAGAGCCTGGTGTCTGGCTGTGGCCTCAGGGGCGTGACGGGTCAGTCTTCCACCCGTCCTGCCGGAGGGGCTTCGGCGCAGGCTTGGGGGCCGGGGGAGACCGGGCCCAGGGCCCCGAAGCTCCGTTCCCACACTGTGTTGCCGGCCCTATCGCTAGGGAGGCCTGGCAAGGAAGTGGGGAGGAAGCGGGTGCCACCGCTGGTGCAGAATGTTCCAAGCGGCTGGAAAGTTTGAGGAGGGCCGGGTGAGAAGAACAAGACCTATTGACAGTGTCCAGTCCCAGCAGGCCTGCTTCGCATCAGGGTCCGGATAATCACAGCTCGCCCCCTCCCCCAGGGTCTCACCGCTGCCTTTTTTCCTTTTTAAAACATTCTGGGCAACTGTGGTGAAGTACGGTGCATTTAAAATTTTTATTCCAAGAAAAACAAAAAATGTGCAAAGCATAGTGTGGAGCACTTCAAAATGACAACAGCACAGACAAGAAGAAACACGTCTCTCCAGGGCGATCTGACCGCCTGCGACGTTGTTGTTATAGACGCTTTTCTGTCAAGCGATTTTCTGATTGATTGATTTATAAGGCTTTTGATTATCCTCAAATTTCTGATGGCCCTGCCGATCAACCTGTCTTGTTGGAGTGCGCATTGTTCAGCAGTCTTGTCTGATTTACTTTGCATGTTGGGTGTGTGAAACCAAGCAGCTGTGTGAATGTCATGAGCGGGAGAGGAAAAGGAACATGCCAGACCATTTCTCTTCTCCATATGAGTCTATAAACCGGAATATTTATGTCAAGGAGTTAGAAGAAAATTTGCTGCATGTTTCAATGAACCGCAAAATGTGTCCCTGGCACCCTGGCCAAGTGGTCCTGCCGGAATTCATCCTGACTTCTGCACTAAAGCGTGAACACCCTCGAGGCAGCTATGCCATTTCCAGGACCCACAGGGTGTCTCCAGTTCCAGCTTTGAGTCCAGCAATGATAGGAATAAAGCCCGCTTCATTTTTCTTATTGCTGGAATATCTGGTAGGAACCTTTGAAGCTCAAAAGGATATTTTAAGGTTTTCTTCAAACTTAGGAAACCAAAGAAAACCCAAGTGCTCCCAACCAGGTTTGAGCACAGAGCCCCAGCAGTTGTGAAGTCCAGATGGGTGAGGGGCCCACCTGGGCTGGGAGCAGAAACGCAGCTCTGGGGCTGGTTGTGAAACACCTGGTCCCCTGGGCAGGGCTGGGGGTGGTCTGCAGCACGACTGTCTCCTGAACGTGTTTGTGCCGTGTGGCCTCTTAGTGGTTTAATTAGATGATGCTCATACTTTCTTTCCCTGAAAGTGGCACATAGAATAGTTTACATAGACCCCCTCTCCTTCCTTAGACATTTTAAAAAGAATTTTAGAAAATAAGTTGAGAGGGGATTCCCTGGTGGCTCAGTGGTGAAGACTCTGCCTGCCCACACAGGATACACAGGTTCGATCCTGATCTGGGAAGATCCCACTTGCTGTGGAGCAGCTTAGCCTGTGCAGCACAGCTACTGGGCCTGAGCTCTGAGCTCTGAGCTCAGGAGCCTCGACGAGAGAGGATGCCACAAGGAGAAGCCTCACACTGCAGCTCGGGAGCCTCGACGAGAGAGGATGCCACAAGGAGAAGCCTCACACTGCAGCTCGGGAGCCTCGACGAGAGAGGATGCCACAAGGAGAAGCCTCACACTGCAACTGGAGGAGGGCCCCCGCCAGTCACAGCTAGAGAAGGGCCTGGCAGCAACGGAGGCCCCGCACAGCCTAAATACATAAAATAAATAAAATTAAAAACAAAAACCAAAAACCAAGTTGCAAATCTCTGCGTTTAGTCCGACACCTTGATCTTAGAGAATGCTCGACTTAAGGTGCATACAAACGAAGCTCTTACTATTCTATATAAAATAAGTGCACTCCTTCTATTGAAATCCATCCATGTGTGCCTGCCCACGGGCAGGGATGATACAGATCTGATCATGTCTACCGCCTCCACCTCCACCCCACCTCAAAACCCCTAAACCCTTCCTCGTGACTTTCCAGACCCTTGGGTTTGAAGCCTGGGGGGCCGCTTCTCCACGTGCTGGCTTTTCCCAGGGACCTCAGCACCCCGTGTTCTCGGCCCCCTTCCCCTGCCCCCGAGTCCTCCCCCTGCCCTCTCCCCAGCCCCCACAGCTCCTGTCTCATCCCTCCTGCAGTGACCCCCACCCCTGATTTTGTCAGCGACCTGCTTTATGTCCCAGCAGCACCAAGGCCTTCAGGAGGCCCACACGTTCTGTGTATTTCACATGGCTTGCAAGTGGCCAAACGTGAACCAGACCCATCGGACTCTGAAGCCTCACGTTCTGCCCGTTGCCCCCAGTGTCCCTGGACCTCGGTATCGCCCTGTGCGGGTAGTGGTGCCAGCGCCCGCCTCTTTGTCCCCCCCGCGGGCTCAGATGAGCTCCCGCCTGCGGGAAGGCCTGGAGGACAGCAGGGCAGCGCACAGTGTTCACATCGGATGCCGTCTGCATCGTTTTTCTCGTCGGGTCTGTGGGCCTTGTTTACGTCCACAGAGCCCCTGAAAGGCTGTTCTCAAACCTTGGTCGTGACTGCGGTGGGTCTGATGTCGTCCCTCTTCCTTGTCTTCCAGGACGGCTCCTACCTGGCTGAGTTCCTGCTGGAGAAGGGCTACGAGGTGAGTCCCTGGGCCAGTGGAATCCTGCGGACTCCGCGGCCTCCTGCTTCCTGTTTCCTCTGTGCGTGTTTTCCACGGAAACTCTGATAAGGAGGCAGGGGCGGAATGAGCCCCCGGGCCTGTCCCCGCGCCAGCCCATTGTGCAGTTTATCTGCTGGCGAACGCGGGCGGCCCCCCTCCCCGCTCCCTGCTCTGCACGCTCCCCACATTCTCAGATAAACCGGCAGCCAGGCCCGCTGTGCCCTTCTCGGGTGACTTTATGAGGTCGTGTGCTTCACAAAAAAGTCCCGCTCCCAGTGAAGCCCCTTGATTTGCACCGAGCAGTAACAGCTGTGGTGCCCCCCAGCCTGAGCGGCAGAGCTGACCTCAGGACGCCGGCTTTCCAGCCCTTGGCTGGTGGGTCGGGGCAGCACGCGGAGCGGCTGCATTTGCTGCTGTTGCCCTCGTCTTCCTTTCCTCCTCCTCCTCCTCCTTCCAAGTTGACTGCTTTCCCCAAAACAAACAGGAATTTTATATCTGAAATGGGTGTAGCTCCGTGGGCACGCCTTCCCCTTTTTAAGAACAGTTTTTGGATATGCACCTTTCTAGAGACTTGTGCTCTGCAGTGAACAGAATCCTGAGTAGCGGCCCACATGTTCCCACCTGATTCGGGGGTGTTTACATGAAAAACTTGGGATGCCACATTTTTCCAATGGCAGGTGTGTTGTTTAAAAAATGTGCACCATGGACCAATGGAAAAGCAATAGCAAGGAATCTGGCAGCTAAGCACCAGCAGGATTTGAATAAAAGGAATTTTTTTTTTTTTTTTACTGTAACTCATAATCTTTTTTGAGAACTTTGACTCTTAGACTTTAATTAGGAGCAGATATGATTAAACCTTCTGTGCCCTTATCAAATAATAACTAGTTCTACATCTTGGAATGCCATCAAGATAGGTCAAATGTAATTATAGAAATATACATGTACATGTTCATATACATGGATTCCTGTAATAATTGAGTGAGAAATTTGTATTCTGCAAAGCAGAACATTTTAGTTACGTTATATATGGTATCATTAGAGAAGGAAATGGCAGCCCACTTGGAAAAGGCCAGCTCCAGTATTCTTGCCTGGAGAATCCCATGGACAGAGGAGCCTGGCAGGCTACAGTCCATGGGGTCACAAAGAGTCAGACATGAGTGACGGAGCGCGCGCGCACACACACACAGAGACATTGAGTGGTCATAAAGAGAGCAGATCTAGCCTGTGTTCACTATTTACAGGATGTCTGCAGGTGTCATCTTGTGATGAGAAAAGCCAATAATTCTCAGGTTTTGTAGAAAATCTCCCTTTAACCTTTACAGATTTAATTCTACACATTGTTGAAGTGCAGAGGGCAGTTTGCCCCTTTGTAGCGTGCCAGCCAACTTGGAGCAGGGGGTGAGCCAGGCCTTCCAAGGCAGCCCATGGCCATCCCCACGCAGGACTGAGTCTTTATCCTTTCCTGCCACTCAGCTCCACGGCCTCTTGGAGACTTAGGAACTGGGTACCTGTGTTCCCCAGATCACGGTGAAGAGCAGGTGAGACACACGTGGGCAACCATGCAGAGGAGCCTGGAGGCCTGTGGGCTGACCCTCATAGGAAAGGCAGGGGTTGTAGCTTGGTACCGACCAGCCGAGGGACGCAGCCTCTGCAGGAGGCCCTTGGTCCCACCTGTCACCCGCACCAGGGAAGGGCAGGAGTGTGACGGTGCCCAGGGCCCAGCCCTGCGCCTGCTTCTTTTCATCATGAGGGAAAAGGAAGCCAGAGGAGTGAAGCTTCCTGTGAAGGTACCTGGTTTCAGGTGCCTTCCTGGCATCGTCGTTAGCAGATAAGCCAACAATATGCTTTTGTACCTATTTGTGCAGAAATACAGAGAGAAACCAGAAAAATAAAGGACACGGTCAAACCCTTGAAAAGCTGCATCTGGGAGTATGTGGACAACCTGTACTGCCCCACTCGGTGACAGGGGCACAGGGACTCAGAGTACAAATAGAGGACAGGCGAGCGCGGTGTCCCTGCCTGAGGGGCCACCGCCAGGGAGCCTCAGGAGAGAAGAGCGGGCGTGGGCCGTGCAGGCCACGGAGGCTGTCTGCTAGGACCGGCTCCCGAGCGCCGGCTCCTCAGCTGCGGGGCCTTCCTTCTGAGCTGCTGGGAATCCTCGAGGCCTCGGTGCAAGGAGGCCAAGCTTTCCGTGGCTTTCACTCTGCAACGTGCTGGCTGTTGGCCTGATGGCCACGTCTGCCCTCCACAGGCCGACGTACTAGCCGCGTGGTCTCGGCAGCACCCTGGCCTGTGGGTGGGAGTCACGATCGGAGAGGCTGTGAGTGCACCGTGCTTTCACTCCACAGAGGACAGTGTGCACGGGCACAGCCTGTACGCGCGTGATCACGGCCCGCGCGTGAGCGGGCACAATCCGTGCGAGCGCGGTCACTGCCCGTCTATGTGCCGGCCGCTGCCCTTGCGTGCGCGGTCACGGCCCGTGAGAGCGCGGTCACGGCCCGTGCGTGCCGGCCTCTGCCCGTGCGTGCGCGGTCACGGCCCGTGAGAGCGCAGTCACTGCCCGTGCGTGCCGGCTGCTGCCCTTGCGTGTGCGGTCACGGCCCGCGCTAGCGCGGTCACTGCCCGTCTATGTGCCGGCCGCTGCCCGTGCGTGCGCGGTCACGGCCCGTGAGAGCGCGGTCACTGCCCGTGCGTGCCGGCCGCTGCCCTTGCGTGCGCGGTCACGGCCCGCGCTAGCGCGGTCACTGCTCGTCTATGTGCCGGCCGCTGCCCGTGCGTGCGCGGTCACGGCCCGTGAGAGCGCGGTCACTGCCCGTGCGTGCCGGCCGCTGCCCTTGCGTCACTGCTCGTCTATGTGCCGGCCGCTGCCCGTATGTGCCGGCCTCGGCCCGTGCGTGCGCGGTCACGGCCCGTGCGTGCCGGGCGCCACCCGTGCGTGCGCAGGCACAGCGTGTGCGTGCTGGCAGTTGACGGTACAGAGTCGTCCGGCTTCTCAGAGGCAGGCCCCTCAGGCAGCCTCTGGAGGACTCGTGACTTCAGGAGAAACCGCGACGTGGAGATTTTAAAAACACAGTGGCGATGGCTTTCTGTTTTCTTGACTGTGGTCAGTCAATCGACCGTGATCAGTTAATCAGCATTTCTGTGTTATACAGCCTAATCTGACTCTTGGATTTGAAGTCAAACCAGCTTTGTTCTGACATTGTGAGAACTTGATATTTTCTTTTTCATCACTTTTTTTATTTTTCCGAAATGCTGACTTCCATTTAACACACTCAGATTTTCAGAAATTTTGTTTTTGAACTTCTGTAATTTAATAATTTTGGTTAAATTTATTCGAAGTTAGCTCATTCATCTTTTCACTTTGGTTTCCTCATTCATTTCTTTTTCTCAAAAATCCTTATAAAAACAAACAGAAAATCCTACCTATTAAATACATCCCTTCTGTAAGAAAAAGCCGCTAATCTCGAATTCTTAACTAGATTATCCAACGTGCACACATTTTGGCTTGTCTTAAAGTTTGCATTTCACCTGTCTCAGAAGTAGACAGACTCAGCTTTCATTAGTTCTTAGAATAATACCTGCTGTCATGGATTAAACATTTGGCAGTCTTTCTTCCCCTATATACACATACCAAGAGTTGGGAGTGAGGGGAAATTAAAACACAGTTTTGTTTTTTTTAAAGCCCCAAACTAGTGCTCAATGCTTTTGGTTGTAAGTGTGGCAGTAAAGTCCTAAGTTCTTTACTTGCTGTGACTTTGTGTAATTGTCTGATTTTCATACTGGGTCCATCAATGTCATTGAATATTTTTAACAGTCCTTTATGTTGATATAAAGAGCCTCACTGGTGACTCAGCTGGTAAAGAATCCGCATGCAATGCAGGAGACCCCGGTTCAATTCCTGGGTTGGGAAGATCCGCTGGAGAAGGGTTAGGCTACCTATTCCAGTATTCTGGCCTGGAGAATTCCATGGACTCTATAGTCCCTGGGTCACAAAGAGTCGGACATAACTGAGTGACTTATACTTTCACTTCATGTTGATATAAAATGTGTATGTATATAGCATTTCTCTTTGCTTTGGGGTGAGACATGTGACTTATCCAGACATCAGCCTTCAAGAGAAAAAGACTAAATCATATTATTTATAGTTTTTCATTGTCAAAACTAAATTATCTGTTTTTAGAACTTAAAAATTTTCCTCTATCCTATTAAATAAAGCTCAACTTACATCTGAGATCTATGTATTTCAGAAGTAACTTTGGTAGTAAATACCAGTTTTGATATGTATAAGTATACATGTGAACTTGGTTTTTATTAAACAAAGTTTATTAAGTTTATAAAGTAGCTGAACTTTGTCATTAACAACTTGAAAAATTGGAGACTATGAGGTTGAATTAATTCAAGGTTCAGTGTAAGTAGAATTTTCTCTACTTTTAAATTAAGTAATGGGTGTGTGTGTATGTGTGCATACTAGGTTGCTTCAGTCATGTCCGATTCTTTGCAGCCCCATGGACTGTAGCCCACCAGGCTCCGCTGTCCATGGGATTCTTTAGGCAAGAATACTGGAGTGGGTTTCCATGCCCTCCTCCAGGGGATCTCCCCAACCCAGGGATTGAACCTGTGTCTCTTATGTCTTCTGCATCGGCAGGCAGGTTCTTTGCCACTAATCCCACCTGGGAAGCCCTTAAGTAAGGGGTTTGTATACCCAGATCTCAGTGTAATGTTTCCTAGATTTTACTGTTGGCTCCCCGAAGTGTCAACCAAGTTTGTGATGTTCCTGTCTTAAAATATTCTCATATTTACAAACTTGTTTCGGTTTTAGCTCTTTTGGGAAATAGTGTGGTTTTAGCTCTTTGGATGAAGCATCTGACCAGCAGAATTATTAATTGTGGGTGTGTTGTACCCTTTGCAGAAGCCAATTTTTCATGTATGCCACGTAAAATGATGATGACATTTCTTTCTCTTTGAAAGAAAGTCTTATGTGCTTATAACTCCCCACCCCCCCACACTAGGAATATTTGAGTCACTCCAAGGATTAATTTTTGTTTGAAATAGACAGAAAACGATTGAGTTAAAATATAGAAGTGTATTCAGCTGCAAATGAAACTACCCAACATAGAATGAACTCTTCTAAAATAAGAGAAGGATTAAAACTGCCACCAGGAGAACTGGAACGTGGGCAGCCGGTGACATAAGCTGGTATTAGCATTGGCAGCACGGAGGAGGAAGTGAGAGCAGGTCTTGAACAATTTCTCTAATGTGTCTGACACAAATAGTCTTTTCTTCAGTGTCGGACAGGTATGCATTCAGGTTCCAACTACTTTTTTTCCCCCTCACACTTGTCATGGTTAAATCAAAGATAAAGACTGAAAGAAAAAAACCCTCCCTTCCTTTGAGTTTCCTTCATGTCTTAAATCTTGTAGGACCTCAGTCTTGTCCCTGCCCTGAATGACTTAGCCTTCTTAGCTTTTCCACATGACTGCATAATAGCAGCTGCTCCCCAGTTCTCTCATGAATGGAGATACATGCTTACTTAGATGCTGGTGCCTGCTGCGGAGCTCGGGGGTGCCAGGCCGGGAGGCACAGAGCTCTGACCTCATGTTCCAGTCTGAGGGGTGGGCCAGGCTTGCAATGGATGCAGCCTCACAGGCTCTGTCTTCAGTTCCAAATGGAAGAGAGATTTTTGTCAGTAGTAGGACTAAGAATGTGTGTGTGTGTGTGTGTGTGTGTGTGTGTGTGGTTGGGAAAGGAGACACTTGAGTATCTACAGCTAAGCGCTCACTGTGAAGTCACATCATTATCTAAATACTTTCGTTGAGATTGGCAGTGAAAACACTGGAAAGGGATGGAGGGAGGTGCCTGCAGGTGATGGGCAGGGGCTGGGGGAAGAGCAAGTGTTGGAATTATTTCTACTAATTCAAAGTAATATCTGTACATCCCAGTTACGTGTTTTTTCAAAAAGCTGAACGTTAGCAGAATAACCTGAGTGTCTAGTCAATCTTCATTGCTGATTTATAATTTAGCCTTTTCCTTCCACCTGATAAAAATGCAGGTCCATGGAATTGTACGGCGATCCAGTTCGTTCAATACTGGCCGAATCGAGCATCTGTATAAGAACCCCCAGGCTCACACTGAAGGAAGTAAGCCGTTCTCTGTCTCTAAATTCTTTCTGTGTAACTTCCTATATTATGGTAAGGTGTTCTGAAGTGTCATTCTCCTCAAAGCCCATCACACCCCTGACTGCTGTCTGCTCACTCTGAAGCCCTTCCCTGCCTGCCTGCGGCCCTGGGCTGTGGGGTCATTGTGCTGAGGCTGTGCCCAGGGGCCCCGCAGGTGACGCTGCCCGAGAGCCCGCAGGCTAGCCTTTGAGCCCCATTTCCAGGTGTCCCCATGCCCTGGAGTCAGATCAGCTCCACAGAGCCCACCTCTGCTTTGCACGTTTGGTCTAATTTAATCAAGTCAAGCCGTCTTTGGTACATTAATTTTAAAAATAATTGGAGAGGACAGGTCCAAAGGCAGATGGCAGTCAAAAACATATGTAAATCTCTTTCCAGGCAGTTGTTAGTCTCTGCAGTTGTGTGTTGTCTTTGGTGACACATTTGCAAGTTGACATCCCAGTTTTCTCATCTGACCTTGGCAGCAGTTCCTGAGGTCATGAATGAGTCTGTTTTGCCGGTGGAGGCAGAGAGAGGTTGACTTTGTCACGGCCCACAGCACGTGGGAGACATAGGCACGACGAGGACATGGGTACCACCCGCCTGCAGAGACCCTCCAGGAGCCTGTACTCACTTCAAGGCCCTGAATATTGGAAGGTTTGGGTTCATTGCACAGGCAGTGATGTCGTCAGGAAGATGACCTGCTAGTTGTCTTTCCACCTTAATACTTAGGTTTTTCAGTGAAGCCTCCCTGAAAATTACCATCGTTTTGTGCAAAATGCAGACATGTACTGCCATTGGATTTAGCTGTAGACCAAAATGTAGAAGTAAGGAAAATAGCCAGTTAATAAGTTGCCAACTGGCCTGTGTCACCTGTTTACAGCTGGGAAGTCCGTGTGGGGATCGGCTGAGATCTGGGGTCAGAACACTCTAGATGTCTTTTAATCATCCATGGCCCATGTCAGGCATTCCACAATGGCTTCAGGACTGATGTTTATGAAGGACTGGATGGAAGTTTCTGAATAGAGCCATCCTCACCACCAGCATGTTACAGATTTCTTTTGAGAATGTACACTTTATTTCCAGATTTTCTTTGAATCTCATTCTTTTGTGACATGTCTTACAGTCACCCAGGCGCCATAAGATACATTAATTGTGTAACATCTGTCATGATTGTGTTTTTAAAGAAAGCCCATCGGTTTTTACAAATCCTCTGTAGACCTGGCGACAAACGTGGACCTCTGCCATTCAGTTTCTTTTCAGACCGACCGTCTTGGACTGCCACGCCAGACCCGGTCTGGTTCTCAGGGTTTCAGACGCACGTTACTATTCCCTTCCCTCTCACGGTGTGTGTTTCAATTTTGCAGACATGAAGCTGCACTACGGCGACCTCACTGACAGCACCTGCCTCGTGAAGATCATCAACGAGGTGAAGCCCACCGAGATCTACAACCTCGGAGCCCAGAGCCACGTCAAGGTGAGCCGTCTGCCGTGGCGTGCTTTCTCTGCTCTGTCCTGAGTTCTGCAGTTTACTTTTTTCTGTTGCTCCTTCTTTTTCTCCTTTTGTGTCTTTTAATTTATTTTTTAAATTTACTTTTAGTTGGGGGAAAATTGTTTTACAATGTTGTGTTGCTTTCTGCTGTACAATAAGGCAAATGAGTGCTTCTTAATACGGTTCTAAAACCACTAGTCCCAGTCCTCAAGTTTTAATTCTTCGCACTAGTTTGGGTATTAAGAATCCTAATGGAAATGCTAATACATTTTTAAAAAGTATATTCTCTGTTACTGAACAGTCTATTAAATCTTACTGATGACATTAGAATAAAAGTATTCATTTCTTTGGGGTTGATCTTACAGTCACGAACCCCACTTGGATGTATTTTCTGCTGCCTTAACTCACATTGTGAATGAAGTCTTTTGTTCAAATGTTGGAAAATTAAGTCAATAAAACTTCCATTTTAATATTAATTTTTGGTGGTGATGATATTACTGGCTGAGAAAATAGTATTTTTGAGTGCCAATATGTCAGAATTAATGGAATTAACGTTTTCCTGTGAGTAGTAAAAATGACTGGGAGAAAAACTCTGTTTGGACTCTTGTCCTCTCTGTTGTGACACACACAGCTCGTGCTGACTTCTTTCCGTTGATTCAGGCAGATTCTCTGGGTGTCTGTCTACCTCTCCTTAGAGAACTTCTGGAACAAGTCACAGTAAAGCTGAGCAGCCACCCCCAGGGTTCTGGCAGTCTGCTTGACTCCAGTTTCTGTTGCTGTGTCCGGCGAGATCCGCAGCCAGGGATGGTATGAGTCCTTTTAGATACGTGTTTAATCAGGGTAGTTACGAGCTTAGAGATACAAGCAACTAACTCCAAGTTAAAGCAGCCCCCTCCCCCAAAATAAAGGGAACAGAAACTGTATCAGCATTTTTGGCTGTTTCATCAGTAAACCTGGAATTCTTGCTTCAGAAAGTGTTTGAGGTGGTTGCTGTTTCTCCACACCCCCAGCTTGGGGCGAAATGAAACTAAGTGCCTGTTTTATAATCTCTTCCAGTTTAAGGAAGAAATTATAGACTAGATCAATGAAACCAAGGGTAGAACATAGTAAGAGAAGCAAGTAGAAAGCCCAGTCTCATTATTGACGCCAAAATTAAAATTTGAGCATAAATCTTCCCAGCACATTTTTCTCCAAGATGTTAACTTTGGAGGATGGCAACCAGTCCACCAGTAAGAATACTTCTTTACCTGTCTGCGCTGTCACGGAAGGTTTCTTGTTTCCTTTCTTAGTTTCTGATGATTCTGTTCTATATCCACGCTTAAGCTCTGGGCTGTGGAACGTGTCAAGGTCTTGTCTTTTGAGAGCAGTTATTTTTCTAAGTGATTCTGAATGTATTTTCCATCTGAAAAGGTGTCTCCGGCATGCTGTGCCTTGAGGGCCTGTCCCCTCTCCTCTAGAGAAGCAGTAACTGCCACTCCAGCCTTGAAGACTTTATCCTGGATTGAGGCAGCCTGTCCATCTTCACGGTGTAATTTATCTCTAGGTTTCTTGCTGTCTCCAGACAAAGTACAATGTTTTGGAATGAATACTCTGTTACTCAGCTTCCTTTAGATGAAGACGTTTCCTTTGTGATGGTGTTTAATAGACGGTTCATCACTCTAGAAGTCATAAGGTGGAAGATGCAGGGTATTTTATAGACCTATGTATATAAGGACTTCCCCTGTCATTTTAGCCTTAAATGAGTCAGTCTTCTCCTTTCTCCAAAATGTCTTTGTAATTAGTTCAGAAAGTCCAGTATGCTTTGCATACATGCTGGTCCTACTGTGTCTCTTAGCACCGCAGAGTGGCCGGGCTGTGCATACAGAGAGCGCAGGGGCTTAGCTGATTTCCTCCAAGTGGCCCTACGTGAAGTTTGTCTGTTTTTATTGGGTTTTGTCTGCTTCGCCTAAAGGCCAGCTAATGGGCAGAAATGGTGCTTAATTGGAGATGAATTTTGGCTTGTAAAATAGGTTAGCCCTTCAATGGCATTTGCGTGCATGGCAGAGTGGAGCACCCACCTCCACCACAGGGGGTCTTGGCTTTCTCATGGATGACAGAGGCGGGCGCTGACATCCTTGGGTCTTTAGAAATAGGTGATCTCAGTCTCAGGAAAGCGTGCATGGTGTCAGGGAGGTTCAGGGAGGAGTTGACAGACACTGTTAGTGGGAGCAGGTAGTTGAAATCGAGGTAAAAATACAAGGCTGAGAGTCAGAACATGGAACATGTTTGTGACATAATGTGCATCCCAAGTAAGCTGAGTGAGAAGTGTGCTGGGAGGAATGGGAGGTGGGCAGGTGGGGTGCTGGGCTGGGTTTGAGTGGCCTCTATGTGTTTGTTTTTTTTTTTTTTTTAATTCAGTTCAGTTCAGTTCAGTCACTCAGTCGTGTCTGACTCTTTGCGACCCCGTGAACCACAGCACACCAGGCCTCCCTGTCCATCACCAACTCCCGGAGTCCACCCAAATCCATGTCCATCGAGTTGGTGATGCCATCCAACCATCTCATCCTCTGTTGTCCCCTTCTCCTCCTGCCCTCCATCTTTCCCAGCATCAGGGTCTTTTCCAATGAATCAGTTCTTCGCATCAGGTGGCCAAAGTATTGGAGTTTCAGCTTCAGCATCAGTCCGTCCAATGAACACCCAGGACTGATCTCCTTTAGGATCGACTGGTTGGATCTCCTTGCAGTACAAGGGATTCTCAAGAGTTTTCTCCAACACCACAGTTCAAAAGCATCAATTCTTCGATGCTCAGCTTTCTTTATAGTCCAACTCTCGCATCCGTACACGATCACTGGAAAAACCATAGCCTTGACTAGACAGACCTTTGTTGGCAAAGCAATGTCTCTGCTTTTTAATATGCTGTCTAGGTTGGTCATAACTTTGCTTCCAAGGAGTAAGTGTCTTTTAATTTCATGGCTGCAGTCACCATCTGCAGTGATTTTGGAGCCCAGAAATTTTAATTAGCCACTTTTTAAATTGAAGTAGTTAATTTACAATAGAATGTGGTTCCCTGTGCTATACAGCAGATTTTTGTTGTTTATTTTATATGTAATGTGTGTGTATGTTAATTCCATAATTATTAATTAATTCCATAATTAATTCCCTAAACTCCTAATTTATCTCTCACCTTGCCACCCTGCTATCCCTGTTGGTAGCTATAAATCTCTTTTCTCTGTCTGTGAGTCTATCTTTTTGGTAAAGAAGTTCATTTGTATCATTTTTTTACATTCCATATATAAGTGATATCATATGATTTTTGCCTTTCTCTGGCCATCTTCACTTAATATGACACTCTGTAGGATCATCCGTGTTTCTGTAAATAGCATTATTTCACCTTTTTATGTCTAATATTCCATTTGTATATATGTACAACATCTTCTTTATCCATTCGTCTGTTGATGGACACAGGTTGCTTCCAAGTCTTGGCTATTGTAAATAGTGCTACAGTGAACATCGGGGTGCATGTATCTTTTTGAAACAGAGTTTCCATCTTTCTTGAGTATATGCCCAGGAGTGGGTTTGCTGGATCACTTGCTCTTTTTTTTTTAGTTTGTGGAACCTCCATACTAGTTTCTGTATTGGTTGCACTAATTTACGTTCCCACCAGCAGTGTACCAGCTTCTCCAGCATTTGCTATTTGTAGACTTTTTGATGATAGCTATTCTGACTGTTGTGAACTGATACCTCATTGTAGTTTTGATTTGCATTTCCCTGATATTTAGTGATGTTGCACATCTTTTGCTCAATGTGATTCCTTCAGCTCTGTTCTCTTGCATGATTGCTTTGGCTGTTCAGAGTCTTTTGTGTTTCCATACAAATTTTAAAAATTCTTTTCTGTGATAAACACCATTGGTAATCTGATAGGGATTGCATTGAATGTGTAGATTGCCTTGGGTAGTATAGTTATTTTGACAGTATTGTTTCTTCCAGTCCAAGAATATATCTCTCCATCTATTTGTGCTGTCTTTGATTTCTTTCATTAGTGTCTTACAGTTTTCAGAGTACAGGTCCTTTGCCTCTTTAGGTAGGTTTATTCTAGGTATTTTATTCTTTTTGATGTGATGATATATGGGATTGTTTCCTTAATTTCTCTTTCTGATATTCCATTGTTAGTGTATAGGAATGTAACAGATTTGTTTCCTGCAGCTTCACTCAATTCTCTAATGAGCTTTAGCAGTTTACTGGTAGCATCTTTAGGATTTTCTGTGTATAGCATCATGTCATCTGTAAACAGTGACAGTTTTACTTCTTCTTTTCCCATCTAGATTCCTTTTCCTTCTTTTTCTTCTCTGATTGCTGTGGCTAGGACTTCTAGAATTACGTTGAATAAAAGCAGTATGGATGAGCTCCTTGTCTTGTTTCTGAACAGGAGACAGATTCAGAGGTGAGTGGAGGTGGGGCTTCAGAAGTGCAGGACGCTGTTGGGTGAAAGTGGTGGCAGCCGAACTGGGCGTGAGGTGGGTGAAGCGGGAGGCCTGGTGAGGCTGACCCGCTGCCGTCAAGACGTTGGGCCTGGTGGTCCCGGTGCTGGAAGCAGGTGTTCGAAGAGGGACTGCTGAGGCGGGTGGGGGTGTGAGGGGTCCTCCCAGACATATTCTACCAACAGGACTTGAGGGATACTCAGGTAATGCAGGTCAAAGGTAATTTAAAGTATGTTGTGAAGTTGGAGAAAGATTTGGAGTTCAGTCCTAAGGATTCTCGAGAGGCTGAAGCCAAGGCAGCAGGTGGAGACAGAGGATGAAGGCTGATCCTCAGGGAAGGGAGCACTTAGACTGGGGAGGGTAGGAGTCAGGGATGACAAGGGGATGGGATGGGGAGGCAGGAGGGTGGAATTATGTGAGCAAGTCAGCAAATCCTGCCCTCTCAGGCAGGAGTGGTGTCTGCAGGCTGAGTGAGGACCAGGCTCGAGACCTTGGCCACTAGGTTAGGAGCGGCTTGTGACTTCCAGG